TATCTATTTATTTTTAAATCTTTTTTTTTTCTCTCTGAAAAGATCCAGGTCTTTGATTTATCCTAATGGTTTTCTACTTTATAGCTGGTGAATTTTTTGCTTTTAGCTATTTTTCCTCCTTTCTTCACATAGTGTAATTTTCTCCTATTAAGCTGCAGACTCTTTTTTCCAGTCTCTGTTTGTTTGGGGGATTCTTCACCTATTTATTCATGATTTATCCATTTATTCATCCTTGAGTCAAGAAAGTTATCTGTGACCTCTTGTCCATTCCCTTCTCTTAGCGACATGGAGATTTTTCTCTGTTTACTAGAGTGTCATCCCTAAGCATACACTGGACTGGTATAAGATTATATTACTGACTCTGATCTAGCAGAGTGAGGATGTAGGGAAGGAGCTAGAGCCAAGGGCAACCCCAGAAGAAAGACTTCACTTAAGCAGCTTTCCACATTTGTTCTTTTGGCCTCTACTTCAGGTACCTGGAATATGAACTCTCACCACCTGTGTCTGTGGTTGGGACGGGGTCTGGCATGGTGGTGGTGGTGGTATACAACATTGAAAGAAGCCCTGTTAGTTCAGTAAAGAGGACTCTGGCATCAGGTGTAGACCATATTCAGTGAGAAGTTGGATGTGACTGAGCTTGCCCTCTGGGATGGAGGGGTCAGTCTGCTCCGAGTGCTGTTGATTTGCAGGGTCAAGAGAGTAGAGTAATTCCTATTAGAACCTAGCCCAGGAATTGTGGTTAGAATGTCAAGAGAGCCATTTGGCCTGAGTCACATTTACAAAGGGATTCAAATTCACACTTTTGACATCATCTGCAAATGTGTTGATAACTCCAGCCACACAGCAGACTGAGCTGATGGAAAGATACCCATACAGATTAAATGTAAAAATTGAAAGCTATGTGGCAATTTTGATAACCCTAATTTGATATTATTTTACTTGAAAAATATACTGTTGTTAGGTGCCATCGAGTCAGTTCCATCTTGTAGTGACCCTATGTACACCAAGAATAAAACACTGCCTGGTCCTGCACCATCCTCACAATTGTTGCCATGCTTAACCTCTAGTAAGAGGCTTCTCATTCTAGTATTTTCTACTATCTGCCCACACCTCCACTCCTTGCTCTTTTAAATTAGGTAGTCTTAGTGGATTTCTGGCAGGATCCTCTTGATTTCTCAGGATGTCACAGAGTTTTCTCAGGGAAAGCAGTTGGTGGTATCCTTCAAAATAGCCCCATCAGCATCATGTCTTGCAAAAATTCCTTTGGCGTTGTGCTGCTCTCATTGTTTGTAAAGGTTTTCCCCAATTTTTGTTTTCCTGGGACAACTTCTGTTGGTTTTGGGGAGGAAGGGCAAGAAATGACCTTTTACTCTGCCATCTTTCCATAATTATATTAGGAGACTCAAGAAAAAGCAGTTATCTAAAAATAGGAGAAGCATGATTTGGCAGATGGCATACTGAAGCTCCCCCAAAAGACAAGATTCATTAAGCTTGCCTAGGCTTTAAACACCTAGATAGATGAAAACACTAAACCAACAAATTCAAAACTTTGGGTAAGCCACCCTTAAATGTCCCAACATATAAGGGCTTTATATACAGAGATATTACAGGTTTGCTGCCAAATAATTGCAATAAAGTGAACATTGCAATAAAGTGAGTCACATGAATTTTTTGGTTTTCCAGTTACGTTTGCACTATTATGAAAAAGTTTGAAATATTGTGATAACTAACAAAATGTGACACAGAGACATGAAGTGACCACATGCTGTTGGAAAAATGGTACCGATAGACTTGCTCTATGCATGGTTGCCACAAACCTTCAATTTGTAAGAAAATGCAGTGAAGCTAAGTGCAATAAAATCAGATATGCCTGTATGTATACCATGTAGCAGCTCTGGCTGTATTGAGGTATCTGAACACAGACATGGGCTCAAAGACAGCACTTTCAAAATCCAGATTAATAACTTATTGACCCA